TGATGCCCGGATTCATAATCATTCGTCATCATTCGTCATCCCCATTGTTTTCGTTTTTCCGACTCGAGCGGACGGCGGCTGGTCGAACTTCTTCCCATTATTCCCATTTGTCGTGGTCTTCGACTAGCCACGACAAAGAATTCGTTACCCGTGCCCCGCGTATCGATAGTTGGTGATCCGATTCGTACATTAAGCGAGGCATCGACGTATATCCGAAATGCAGAAATATCACTTTACCGCGCGTGTACTCAACCACAGTTAGCAACAGTGACGTAGCCGGCGGCGCACAGAAGCCGCGATTGGCTGCTAAAACAGCTGTTATCTTATCTTTTTGCCGCGAGTGTCAACACTAGCCGCTTGTCGTGTACAACGCAGCGTATACAATGTGTAACTTGTAGCCGTATCGCTGGCAAAATTCTTTCCTGCATCGTCTCTTTCGCGACGTTTCGCCAACTGTCTTCTTTCACTCCTCGCTCGACTATCTAGGGTTCGCACTAGGCTTCCTCTGCGAAGCGATCATACTCATCAATTTTGATATCACCTATTTATAGTGACATTCGAGTGTTCCGCTATTATGCTGGAACAATGCATTTCTGCATTTCCACGATAGCTTCATCTGCGACATACTTGAAATAAAGATAGAAGTCTTGATGATTTGTTGAGTGAATCTTCAGTTTTTTACAGGGTTGTTTTATCTTTAAATTTAGAAATATATTTCACCTCTTTTCAAGTTTAATATCGAGTACCTTTCGAGAATATCACCTTCGGCCATTTTGGTAATGTCTCTTGAAAGTTTATCGACGACATTTTCCTTTGATATCTTATCTAAAATAGCCTGTTGATGAAATCGTTCTGCTCATCGATGGGTATTACAACAAGTATTTCATTACAAGTATATTATAAAGAGGATCGTTTCGGTGTTTGCGTGTAGCTCTAGTGATGCGCACGATACGAGATAAATCTCGATCTCGTCCCGATCTCGTCTGGATTTCGAGATGCGATTCGAGATCGAGATCGAGATCATATATTCGAAATTGTTGGAAATTCGAGATCGATATGCATGTTTCGAGATCAAAATCGAGATCGTAGAAGTCTCGTACGCATCACTACATGCATCGGAATGTGCTCCTTTCACGTAGATCTAGTAAGGGGTTGAAGAATTTGGGATCTGGCTTTGTTACGGTACCATTATAATAAATTGTCTGATAAATAAATGGGTCGTACCGCTTTGAGGAAGATGTAGATGAAAAGCTCCTGTTTAATTCATAGAGCTACTATTTTAAAGCTCCAAACCACGGTACAAAGAGCCATTAAGAGGCTAGGAAAGGATTTTCTTATGCATCGACTGTTTTCAATCCTCTTAATAAGTCTCCGCGTCTCACTAATGGCAATCTCACACCAAGGCTCCCCCCAATACACCAGATCCAACTAATAGCAAAGAACCTCGCGCCTCTTAGAGAGGACCATCTCGCGCCACTGAAACAGGACCGTTTGGCGGCACTTGGAGAGTATTCATAGAACTTCGATTCTATTTTTCCATCATATTTGCGTCAAAGTCTGCGATACGTTTAAAAATATTTAACCTGTCGTTTCTCCTCTCGTTACCTCCGACCCCGGTCTACCTTGCGGAGTACTCGATAGTCCGAGCCGCGAATCGTGTCGATGGAAATCAGGTTAAATGACAACGAGACCGAGCGTCACGATCGAATGTGTCGAATCGCGACGAGTTTATTTTCAGCTCGGTCTAAGCTCGCGCATATCTTATGTAAAGTAACCGAGCGCGCGTGGACAACAGATCGGTCGCGTCGCAGGTGCGAGCGTTATGGCAAGACGCAAAGGAAAGAGACCCCACCTAGTGGGAAATTTTCACCTCGTAAGATTCCAGTATATCCCCCCTTGGAGCGTACGTTATCGCGATTGTTAAACTCTTTGCAACGGCGGACTCATTGTATGCCGACGATATGTAATTTTGCCCAGCGATCGGAGCCGCTCCTCTTCGTCCTAGGCAACGACGATGAGTCGCGGAGATTAGCATTCCCGTATCGAAATTTTTACCGCTCTAGACGTTATTGTTCTACGCGACGGATGAAGATAATTCCGCGTCTATAAATAGACAACGCGACCGGCGGAAGGAGTACCCAATAAAAGTACGCTAGAGACTCGTACGCGTTCGAGCGTGAAGTCGAAATAACACGGCGTTCGCCAACGCGATTATTATTAAAACGAATCTGGTTACGTTCCGAGCGCCCTGGAATTATTAGGAATTACCAAGAATGAGTATGCGTGAATTATGAAAAAAAAAAAAAAAAATACAACAGAACGAAAAAGCGCGCGGTGAAAGTGGAAGCTCGAAATCTTCTTGTTATTCCGTCTCGGTCGATCCTCGGATACACCGAGTCGTTAAAGTGTAATCGTATGCGTCACGTGTGTCTGCCACTGCCGCTAATGACGGATCATTTTGCAACATTGCTCCGACCGACGTTCAACAACATCGTTCTCAGGAGGCAGATACACCATTTGAAAATTGCGGCGCCGCTTGCAACCTGTATAAACAATCGGCCATTACGCACCGTTATACGATAATCGTGCTTGACGTCAAATATTAAATGATTTCGCTGCGTGAATCAGGCTGTTTAAATTGTCCGGCTTGATTGAATGATGGCCGCTCCTCTAAGTTGGCCGACAACCACTTCACCGTAAATAAGATGGTACCCCATTCTCTGTATAAGTCGCCTCGTTATACAGGGTGCTCGATTTCTACGTCGCCTTCTGTCTTTGACTCTGTTGGACTTCACGACCTTGGAAAGCTTTACACACCGTTCTCGAGTGTTTTATAGTATTGGGTACCGGAAATGATAACTCGTTTTTTTTTTTTTTTTTTTTTTTTACAAAACGTGGGTTTCGAAGGGATTGATTCGTGGTACGCGAGATTAATCGTTATAACCGCGGATATTTATGCATGCATGACGAGTATAAATATACAAAGATGCGCACAAGTGCATAAATACTTAGTTATTTGTTAATAATGGACAAATCAGTTATTCTACAAGAATGAAAAGTTACAGAGTTGTCCCAATTCGTTGTTCGCTGCTACTATTACGTATCAACATAGTAATATATAACATAATAAGATTTTAATATAACGTAATTAACATAAAACTAGCCTCTCCTGAAAGATGGTTATGTTTGCAAATATATAAACTATACAAAATGAAAAACGCCTCACAACAGTTAGAAGACAAACCGTATTTCAATTTACGTTTCTGTTTTCATCCGGGTATATAAAAACATGAACTTCAACATCCGCAGTTATAACGATATTTTCAGTTTTCGATATCTGGTAGACTGATATTATCATCGACACCCATGTTAATATCTCGTGACAATTTGCGAGCGTTTTACATGTCGCTCCTAACCCAGACCCAATATTATGCTTCCAAAGAGGTTTCGCGTTGTACAATTTTCACGTTCGACGCCGAGCGTTTTCTCCGCGGCTTAAATATCCGTTTGTTCTGCCGAGTTTGCAAAGGACTCCGAATAGTAAATTGCGCAATAAATTCAGAAGTCGTTCTCGTATTTGCACGACTCTTTCGCACTCGAGCGCGGAGCGTACCGCGCGCACCGCGATCACGTGCCACGGAGACGCACGTAACAAGACGTGCAAATTAAAGTAACGAAGAGTTTAGTTATCTGCCCGAGCCACTAACGGTTTTAGTTATAGTTTTCGCGATCGTGACTCCAGAACACTACCGCTGTCAATTATAAATAAACGTAACAGTACCGGAGTATTCGAAAAGGAAAGGAATGCCGATGGACGATGCAAATAGCCACGCTCCCTGTTCCAACGCCGCTCGACGGAACTTTCTAACGCCAATTCGGGATGTAAATCGAAGCGAACTTGAAACTTTGATCTTGTTCCGTTCGAAAACAGCGGCGTTGCGCGTATCGCGTACGCCTGGGACGTCCCTGGAACGCTGCAACTGGACTTTCGTCGCTGCAATCGGTACCGTCGGTCGGATCGCCGAGCTTTCGTTCGATGAAAACTTACAGACTCGACTTTCTACGCTCGTACGGTGAATTTTTCATCGTGCGTCCCCGGGTTATTTCCGTACAGTTCAGACGGTCGACTTTGATCGATTTTTTCCAATTTCTCACGAGAATCGCGCTACAGCGGCGATCAAGCGTGCGTGGCTGATAAAACGAAGAATAGACGCAAAGGCGCGATGCGTGCAATCGCCGTCTTTCCCTGCTCGTGTTCAATTAATTTCTTGAATGCCGAGAATTTAATGGGTCTCGGTGCGTTATCGCCGCCGTTCCATCACGCATCGCGCTCGTGTGTGCTAGGAGCGTGGCTCGGTGCCATTGCACTTTCGTGCGTGAACGAGATCCGTCAATACTCGAGACATTATCTTGCAAATTATCCGTTTTCGCTGGTGGTTTAGCTGAAATTCAACAGTTTTCATAGACGTTTCGCCGAAAACAATCTTGACCGATCTTCCTACGTCAACGATGTAAATACACGTCGATTATGAATTCCACAATTTCTGTTTACCGACGTGTACACATAGATGACGTACAAGTTCACTCGAAATTGTTTTCGGGGATTTCCAAGATACCCATCGCTCGTATTACGTCATCCGTGTTTGGCAAAATATTTTCATCGTTCTGTTGTTCGTCGAATGAAACCACCGTGGTAGATTAATGACATCCTTTATTTCAAGTTGGACAGTAAATTTACACATCGTCGATGCACGATAGATAGATCGTTTAAGTAGGTGAGATACACGTATCGTCGAGAGAAAAATTTTGTAAGTACATATCAAGCTTCAAATCGTTAGTGTTCATATATTACTCTATAAATAATCGGCTTAAGTGCTGCGTGCCGGCACTAGATAATGCTGTTAATACTAGATCCGTAGGACGTTTGATGGACGACCAAGGTTTCTCCCGTGTTTCTATCGGGTTTGATCGCGGACAGCCCCGAAACGGCGCGTTAGAATAAAAAGCACGAGCCTTGTTGATTGTCTAAGCTAATGCGTGGAATCTACCGTTACAGCGCGCTGATTGCCGCGTACGAGTTACATATGCTATAAATAATGTATAAATACATGTGTTAGGTATCTTCGTTTTGTACGTACGGTCTTCTTTGGTACATCGTGTACTGCGGGTGAGGGAGAAATCATATCGATGGATACACGACGCCGGCCACCTATTAGTTATTCGTTCGTTAATTGACCAACTGCTGTTGTGTAATTGTTCGGTGGGACGTAGATCCGATGCCGTAACGAAACGTGATTGTCGAGTCGATTGGATCGTAGAAATAAAACGCACGGCATTATTTCGATCGTGCCGTATAGAAACTTGACCTACTTTGTTTGGAGTCGTCGAATAACAATAGGGAACGTTGCATCTAATAACATTCGTATCGAGACATTCTACCCTTCCGAGCGGTTCTCTTACAAGATCGTCGGTCGGTAAAGAAGCATCGTATTGTCAACAAAGCGTTCGCAGATTCGTCCCACTTCCGTTTATCGCGTAAACTACCGTAATCGTTTGCGCTAAGTACCAATTGCTCGTTCCTCTGACCGCACTGCATCAGTTTCCTACACGAAGGGCTTCGATCGAATAAATTCGTAGTCGGCCGGGAAGCCATCGTCTGGAATCGAGATAGAGATCTCGTTTCTGACGGATAATCAGGAAATAATCCTAATCCAATCGTCCTCCTGGATAATAAATCAGCGGCGCGGTGGCGTCCCATCCGTCGAACTCCTCGTTGGACTGCGCCGTCCTTTTCTGGCAGTTTAAGAGAAGAGTGCTGTGCCTGGGGCTGCTCGGAGCAGACCTGCATGTCGTCTGAGCGAACCCAGCCGATCCGAGGCGGAAGTTCTTGGAACCAGCTAGCGGGAAGTAGCCCTCGTTTCCGATCGTCCAGTTGTTGCGCGCGTTCTTCGCCTCGGATCGCAGTCTCTGTAGCGCCAAGTCTTTCGCGTCGATTCGCGTCTCCTGATCGCACAGCTTCTCAACGCAGGGACATGAGTTACTGGAGGACTTCCAGCTGTCCGTGCACGAGAACCTCGTCGCGCAAGACAGCTTAGGTTTGCACGGGCTGGTGTCGGCTATGGCCTCCAATTGGCTGTTGGTTCTCGAGCAATTCTGGTCCAGCTGATCGGAGCTGGCGAAACGAAGTCGCTTCGGCGACTCGCTAGAGCACCTCATGAAGGTGGACCTCACCAGGGATTTGTTCTTCAGGGAACTTCGCGGTATCAGAGGGTTGTTCGTGGTGCTTTTCCTTTTAGAGCAACCGTTGCGTCGGTTCTCCCGTTGCGTGTTCCTTTCCTCCCTTAAAATCGGATCCTCGCCGATCAACCAGTAGGTCAGACGTTCGCCTTTTCCTTTCATGGAGACCAGCCCTCTTTCCACCACACTGAATCCGTTCAGCTGGTCCAGCAGCTCCTTCGTCTCGGCGCTGCAGTGGATTTTTAGCGCTGAAATGGAAACGTGGTGGAGATTATAATGTTAATTATAGCCGCGAAAGATGTAAGTTTGCGTACTTCGTCACTTCGACTGTTATCGCTCTTCAAGGCATGTTTTTTCTATTATAAATAGAAAAAATTATGACTAGACTGCGGATCATTATGTAAAATAAAATCTTTCCGAACGTACCTACAAAAATAGGAATTTATTTTATTCCGCAAATATCATAACATGAACTTTACTTTCAATCTTTCTTGTATTCTTGGATATTGTTTGCATTTTGTAGGTTCTTGTACATTCAAATTTCCTATAAATGCATAAAGATCCGTAGTCTAGTTATGACTACACTGTTATTTTCAAAAAAGCGGAGTCAATCGATTTGTGCAGCGAACGGCTCATTTATCAGATCGTGGTAATAACAGCGACGAAGATTGAACAAAGGCAGTGAAAGTGATATCGACGTTGGAATATTAGATCAATCTCTAAATAAATATAGTTGGTTGCCTGCGTTGTTACTCACGCGATCCTGTGGATTCCATTCGACTGGCGGTGTTCACCGTGTCGCCGAACAGACAGTAACGAGGCATTTTCAGGCCCACGACGCCGGCACACACGGGACCTGAAGCGGAGGTAAAAGTGTGTCAATTGCGATCGAGTCGGTCGTAAATTCTATTGTTGATTTCGCCCCGGACCTACCGGAATGTATACCAATTCGCAGCTGCAGCTTGTCGAGGGGCCTATGCCGAATGGTGAATTGCTTAACGGCGTCTAGGAGACACAAGGACATGCTGGCAATTTCTCCCGCGTGCTGAATGCCGTTCCGTATCGGCAGCCCGCTTACCTGTTGAGAAGCAGCTCGTCAGACGCCGCGAATAGTCTATTTACCTTGCGATTGTATCCGATTCTCGAGTGCTCATTCGTGCTCACCACCATATAAGCGTCGCCGATTGTTTCTACTTTGTATACGTCGTAATTTTCTATCGTCGAGTCGAAGCAGGTGTACAGGTCGTTTAGGAAGTCTACCACCTGGAAACGAAGGGAATCCGATACGCGATGATTCGATTTTAGCTGGATTTAACTAAGTTGATTTAGATTCGTATGCTATGGAAATCTCACCTGCAGAGGTGTGCTTTCGGCAGACATGGTGGTGAATCCAACGATGTCGCTGAAATAAATGGTAACGCAGTCGAAGCTTTCGGCCTCCACTTTGTAGCCACGTTTTAATTGCTCGGCGACGTAACGAGGCAGCATTTCGTATAGTAAAGCGTCTGTAAGTAGAAATTTTTTGCAACGTGGTTGACATGGATCGGTTTTGAAGATGGTAACGATTTTGGGGCAACGCTGACCTGTTTTCTTCTTCTCCTCTGTCAATTGGTCTGTTCGTTCGTCCACCAGGGCTTCCAGATTATTGGCATACTTCTCCATCATGGCCATCATATTGTCGAATATGTTTGGCTTCCTGAAAACAGGCATATCTGTTCGTTTCAAGTTTTTGTGTACTTCTGAATAATGTTTATGTATTGACAGTGAACTAGTAGGTTGAGTGCCTAGGTTAATATACAATTGAATATCACGTTTTATTCATTCGGATTTTGCTTGGTTTACTGAGTGCATATCGAATTCGATTCCATCGCTAAATATTAGACCGAGCGATTTACTCTAGCTCTCGATTAGACTCGTGATCAAACCAAGTAGCCGCTTAAAGTCTCTGAAAAATTCCTACCACCTCGTTCGTTATTCATTATGTGAGCCGTTCATTGCACAAATTTATTTAACACCATCAAACAAAAAGTTGAGAAAACTGATGAAATAATATACATTGTTTTTTAAAATTCCCTTTATAGTATAAATTGAAATAAATATCGTAAAGCGCGTAAATACAGATGTAGCTTTCATTTAACGGTGTATAAAATTAATAAGAAAGAATAGCCAAGAAATAATCGTCAGTAATGCTACAATTTTTATACGACTGGTGGAGTTAATCGATTTGCGCAGCGAACGGCTCATTTGCATCGCGAATTGTGAAACTCACATGCCCTTCCTCAACGGCCTGAGTTTGTTCCTTATAATCTTAAAATCCGGACGGATCTCGGGGTCCTCGGCCCAGCACTCTCTCAGGCAGTCGTGCACGAAATGGAAACAGTTCTCCAGCTGATCCAACGGCGGTCTGAGATAATTCAAGGAAAATAGAGTAGCTGACAGGGTGGAAACAAATGCGCGTAAAATTTAATTATCTCTCGCCGTCTACGGATCGCCGGCCGTAATCTTAATACCTGAACGGCTTCACCTCTGGCTCCCTCGCGATTACTTTCTTCAGTATCTGCGAGTCGGACAATTCCGTGATCCCAAATGGGCCGTGTCGTCCTTGGAGCTCGTACAGGACGATACCGAAGGAATAAACGTCTCCTCTTTGGTAATCTCGAGCAGTTGGCTCTAAGGTTCCCGTTGATCGTAACAGCTCGGGAGCACGATACAATAAACCTGGAAGAATTCGCATCGAATTCGCTGGTGGGATCAGGTTACACGTAGATAAATTTAATGCTAGGTTTACGGAGATATACGGTTATTTTAACCCTTTGCGCTCGAGAGGTGACCAGGTTTGACGCAGTAAATCAACCAGCAACAATGTTCGTTTGGATTCCATTTCTTTAGAACTCGAAGTATCATAAATAAAACTATTGTCGGTGAAGTAAAAGTGACCTGATTCTCAAATATTAAAAACCTTATCATTCGTGGCACTGACATGTTAAAACAGCATCTCGAGTTGCTAGTGGATACCAGGAAAAAAGTGCCTCGAGCGCAAAGGCTCATTTCATTTCACAAGGAACGCTGACTTTTATCCACATCAAGAGACAAGCTTACGTTCAAATCACTTTGATAATAGATATAAACCAGATCAAAAGGATCTTAGACAGTGAACGTCAAAAAAAAAAAAAAAAAAAATACAGCAAAGATATTTTAAATCTGTAAGCCTAAAAAACCTAGCGTTAAAATCGATTCATACGATTTTATTCGCGAGGGTTGACTTCCATTTTCGCGTACCGTGATATCTCTTCATGACGTCGCATGGCTCGCATTCTGCGTCCTTTTTGAACTCGTGCAATCCAAAATCCGCCAGTTTTACGACCCAACGGGAGTCCACCAGACAGTTCGATGTACTCAGCGAGCCGTGATATTTTATGACGGACTCGTGGAGATAGATCATACCCTGGAAAAATCGCGAACGTGGACGTGAGCTCGTCAACGTCGAGCATTGAATTCGATTATGGCCGACGATTCCACGGGATTTGTCGCGCGTGAAAATATTGGCAAAATTTGTCTAGCTGACGAGGCTCGTAAGGAAAGTTTGAAATATTCTCTCGCGAAAGTTCGAACGACGGCTGGTCGAAAGGAAACTTTTCTCGGACGGATTACGATTCAACAAATTTTATTCGACCGTGGGAACTCGCAAGGATCTATGTCCGATGACGCGTTCATCTCGAATGGTTTTATCGAGATGCATAAAATTCCCGATTTCAATAATTCTAGTAAAAGCAAGACCTCTCGACGATGGGAGTGCAGTGTAAGACTGATGTAAACGTTGGGTTGCGTCGTGAATATTAAGTAGATTTTTAGGAGTATGCCGAAGTCAGATTCGTGAATCAACTTGTAATGGGATGTTTAATGGAGAAATAAAATAACAGAGCAATGAAAGAGTATTAAGCTTGAGATGTACCTGGTGTTAGATAAAAATTCACATAGTCAGTGTAAACACTAATACGTAGAGTAATACTATAAGAAGAAAGACTTAGAGCAGCGTATATGAGCTTGTACCGGTTCACCTGTGCTTTTTAATTCTATCTTGCAATAGGGAGATCACCAAGTTGAGATTCGAATGGAGCAATAGTGCTAAAGATAGAGCAATTTTCTTAAAGAGAAAGACGCCCGTGCGAACGATACGTACTCTGATGATGTCGCCGACCAGGGACGCCATGAACATGTTATCCAGCTTCATGTCCTCGTTTTCCAAGATGTCCTGCGCGAAAAAAAAGGACGAGGAAGAAATTACGCGCGGTTCTCGGGCGCACGGGATTTTCGTTTATGAAATTACAGACAATCTTGCGTTGGATGATTACCTTGAGACTGCCGCGCGCACAGTACTCGACGACGATGCATATGTTCGGCGGATCTGTACACGCGCCGATGAACGCGTTCAAATTGTCGTGTCGTAAGTCACGCATCTGAGGAAACGATCCTTCAATTTGCATGTCGGCGAACGGACCTCGAAACCCGACGGCTCGTCAGTGTTCACGGTACTCACCACTTTCAGCTCTTTCTTCATTTCGCGCGTGATCTCGATCGATTTCTTCCGGACCTTCTTCACGGCGAATATCCGCCCCTTATAGACGCCTATTTGCGTGTAAATCATGGAATATCGAAAGTCGGCGTCGGGGTTCGAGCTCAGGGAGACTTGGCTGGTCCGCACGATGGGTTGCGTCGTTGCCTGTCCACGGAACAATCTTTATTTTAGCATGTTATCAGAAGGAAATTGCGTTTTCTCTGGCCTAAATGAAAGTAATGATCGTATATCTTTTATACGTGCGATATCAGATGGTATGTTGGAGTCGGGGTTCATTGATCACAGGATCGATCGCAGGAAGAAAATTCGGTCCTTTCTAGATAACTAATAATATCACTGCTTTAAGTGGAAGAAGAAATTTTAGATGGGGTAAGGAAACTCCATATTATAGACTATATCGAGTGTAAAACAAAACAGAACATAGAGCAAAGTAGTAGTTCAGTCCTACCACTTGCTTGACTACACCCACGTTGGGTTACGCTTCGATTCGAATCAGTGCGACAGATTCGGGATCGCAGGATTGTTTTCACGTGCCAAAAATCCGGACTGTGTCGTTTACATTTTGATAGCGAACTTTCTGAAGCGGAAGTAGAAAAGTCCTCGGGATGAAACGGGTCGAGGGAAACGAGCGAAACGTAACACAGAGAGAAGGAAAAGTAGGAACGTCGAACGAACGGAGGCGAGCATTTACCTTGGAATTGCATTTGGTAGGCGCCTCGTTGACTCCCACCAACTCGTCCTTCTGCTCTTTGATCTGAATGTCTTTGTAGTTCATCTTCCAGAGCAGGGAGTCCAGTTCCAGCTCGTATCTCCAGTTTCTGTAGAGCACCAGGAACACCGCCGCGATGATCAGCAGAAATCCGCCCGCTATTCCGCCGACGATCTCTCCCGTGTGAGCTGAAAGATCAGATTAACCCTAGGAGAACTTCTGGAGTCTCCAGAGACTCCACGTTTTCTCCACTTATCGACTCTGTTTAATTTAATCGTAACTGGAATTAGTGTGCTGCGTTAAAATTCAGAAAAAGGAGTATAAAAATGGTAGACTGCATCTGGGCGCATACCGATACCCCTTGTGAACAGCAGTGGAACCAGTCGATAAGAGTAAGGAGAGATATTAAGAAAACGAATGTCAACGTTGAAAAATTCAGGAATGATGATCGGTTATTTAGCTGACACATATTAAAGTTTCAGAGCGGTCGGAGTCCGGGAACATGGTTAAATAATTAAAAAGGAACAAAACTGGTAATATGAAACGAACTAAATGTTACGTGAAGGTCAACGTATTGAACCTCGATGGCTTCATTTCTTTTATAAGCTATTAGACTGTTGTAGTGAAAATGTGCATAGTCGTATGCATAGCTGTAACGATACGCGTAGTGTGTCTGACCATTATCTCATTCTATTTCAGGGCATTACACGAAGAGTAACGCATGGGATTTTTGTTTCTTTTTAATTATTCACCACTTTTCACCACTCTTTTGAATTAGACAAATTTCTTCAATAAATGTATAGTGTGCGAATACTTATGAGACTCATTGTATTTGTGTAGAGGGATCTCGAGTGATCCCAGAAGTGAAACTTGTCAGAAATCCTGAAGTTCCGCGATCTCGTTCGTGAAAAGTGATCGATTCGATTGTTCCGCGGGTCCGAGTCGGTGGCCCCGAAGAATTTGGGTCAGAGATGTTCTGCCTCGTCCCCTTCTCTTTTTTAATTGTACCCTCCGTTCGATGTTCCGTCTCGAACGTTTAAATCGGTCGCGAACGCAACGGACGATCGTTGCATCATTGATAATCGCGCGCGGTTACGTGGCCGGGATACGTATTCGATCTCAATTAAGGGAAACGAAAAAGGTACCGCGGGAAGGGCAAGAGGCATTCCCCTTTAAGTGATTTACATATGTAAATTTTTGAGGTAGCGAGCGGCTAACTTTATGATGTATTTTCTTGAAAGTCCGAGTGAAAGCCGACGAACGATAATTCGAAGAAGAATTGTCTCTATCCCGTTTGCATTTTCACGAGCCATTTATCATTCTTTGAAACGTGTCATCCGCTAGCTCTTAGGTCCCGAACATCTTGGATTAACGATTTTATGTCCTTTACGATAAGACGGATCGGTGTATTCTAAAAACAATTGATGATTAGGTATTCCTGCTCCAATGGTTTCACGTAACTCTCTCACACGTTGAAATCGTCTTGCAATCGAGTTGCTGCGAGTGGGTACTTCGTGTCGATCACTGTCAGACCTCGAACAGTGTCGTAATTATGCGTAATTACGAGCACTGTTACCCGAGCAATTATTTCGATCTAACATAGTCTACCATACGCGTTTGTTTTAATTGCAACTATCTCTAAACTCCTCAGAATACCCTTATAACCGAGTCATCTCGAACGATTCTCAGCCAAGTTATCCCGAATCTGAAAACGTCGGTTACGATAAAGCCGTTAAGTTTTTATACGTACAGTTGCATTTTTCGCCGTGGTATCCGCAATGAGGCTCGGCGATCGGCGGTCCGTCTCCGATCCAAGAAATTTCTCTCATCAATCGGAGTTTCTACAAGCGAAAAAGAAACCAGATGAGGAATTTTAAGGAAAGACCATCGCGATCGAAAAGGATCGCTCGACAAGCGCTGAACGTCTTACTGGCAGATTCGTGCCGTTCTCTTTCCCCACGAAGTACGCTATTGGATATAAACCGTGTCCCTTCGGCGGTCGATTGTCCAACGCGATCAGAGTGTAATTACCTTCCGCATCCCCGTTTTCGTCCATGTAAACCATGTACCTGCGGAGACATATCTTGTAACAGCTGGAAGCGCATTAAAGGTGTGTAAACTCGTGTTAAGGTAGTTGTTTCGTGAATTTACTTAACGGAGGATTTGAACAAAACTTCACTTGACTGTTCTTTGATTAAATGTATCGGTCATCCTGAAGAAAGATAATGCGGAGATTCTGGTTGATCCATCGAGAACATGGATAGCCGTCCGGCGACGCGAAAGGCTTAATTATTTTGTAGGGTCAATTATAATTCTAGACGCTTGCGTCATCGGGATAACGATCGTTGCTGCTTTGTTAGCGTCACGCATTTTGTATTGTCTTATGCAAAGCACGGCACTTTTGTGACAATTAAAACGATGTCGACCTTGTGACCCGGGTAAATTCTTGTTCGATTGCTCGCGTTAACGATCTTGCGTAATTAATATGGTTTCTCGTAGTGACAATTAAAATGCAACGCAATTTTCCTCTGACTATACTTCAACGAACGATACTAGTCGTTTATTTAATTCTTTGAAAGCGAGTGCAACAGAAGCGTGCGTTTAACGTGAAAAACATGCCATGAGATATTTGTATGCGGAGATATACAGAGACGGAGCAGTTGACGGGAGTCATAGATGGTTGCAAAGTTTTTATTAGAACACATTTTCTAGAATAAATCTCATGCTGGATTTATAGACATGTAAATCTCGGTAGATAGACGCCAAAGATTGGACGCCAAGATTTAATACAGATGTGTAATCTAGGTTATTATTTCGATAATAAAAAGTGATATTAAATTTGTTGTTTTAAATAGAAAATTTAAAGGCTATAATCTTATCCCTTGAGTAACTGCAATCAATTTGAAATACGAGACATCTCGTAGTTGGCAATGAATGGTTTAAACATTTGTATCAACCATAGTCGCGGAGCCTGTCATGCGGTACGTCGTTACGTCTGCGGCTACAATTAATCACCAAGTTGCGACGTTTCCGCAGAAAGACACGGGAGTGACGAATTGGCGTGCTTCCTTCTACTTCGACCCCGTTACAGTCCGCAAACGAAAATACATCGACGAGTTTCCAAGTCGCTCGTTTCCGTCGTTTTTTCCGCGAGATCGCTGTTCGACTATCATCTCGCAATGACACTCTGGTTTGCATATCTTAAAACGGGACGATAGAAAACGGAATGGATCTTGCTATTCGCTCCGCGGCTCAATCTTGTAAATACGTACCCCATGGCGCTGCGATAGTGAAACCCGTAAAGAGTCGCCACCATCTCCTTGCCGTTTCGCGGATTTCGACCCTCGTCCAGAGCTTTGAGCAACGCTCTTTCGTACAGGTGCACCGCGTCGTAAAGATACGCCGTCTCTGGCACGATCTGCTTTATAACACAAAAAATAACGATTACGTTCGAAGATTGAACGCTATCGCCTCACCTTTCATTCTCAGCGTGCATAAATTAGGTGACCTTCTCGTCGAAATTCATGAGTTGAAGTATCAGTGGAAGTTAAAACCGTGGTATCTTCTTAATATTGCAGTCTCAACCAAGTTATTGGCTTTGTTGAGACGTGGAATAAGCAATAGGTTGGTTGAACTTGCAATATTAAGAACAAAATCACGTTTTCAACTTCCACTGATACCTCAACTCTATTCTACGTCTCAACTCTTGATCATTCTTCAATTTCTCATCGAGAGTCGTTTAAAAATATATATGTACACACATGTCGAATTGAGTAACCTCCTCCTTTTCGAAGTCGGTTAAAAAATTCTAATCGCGTGAAATGGTTTTCTTCTCGAAATTGTTGCATCGTATCTACTCGCATCTCGAAAGGAATCACTTGCAAGCGATTGTAATAGTCACCTGAACGACGTCACTGATGTTCGGGAGCGGATTAGTGAAGTTGAAGGGTGGCTTCTGTCTGTACTCGTTCACCAGTCGCGTGAAGTTCGTCGAGTATATCTGCGCGGACGCGACCACGCTAAAGTAGCTGCGATACGCCTTCAGGATGGACGAGTTCGTCTTCCTCTGCCATAAATCCCAAAAATATTTGTCCGGTTGTTTTTCGTCGTACTGCTCGATATCGACGCCGACCACCCAGTAGTCCCCTGCGACACCAATTTCTGGGATGTTCTTTTTCTCCGCGAACGAGAATTTAACGAGAAATGTACGCGATCGTCGAATCTATACATTTCTTAATCGTAAGATCGTTAATGGTTTTGGAGATGCGTTTGATAGCGGTACGAAGAGTCCTTTGTATGCGTTTAACGATTTTTGCTGGAAATTTCGAGAGGCGTAGAGATGTGAATTTTAAATAAAGATCAGCTTACAGGAAACGATAAGACGGAAGTTTTTTATATTTAAAGTTTACTTATACGTCGATTAGTTTCAGACCAATTTATTTTTGCCCAAAAGATTCTTTCCTATCGCTAGAAATAAAGGACACATGTAAACGTTCCAATTCTGACAAGACTCCCCGTGTAGATAATCCACAATTTAGAAGCGTTTGAATTCGATCGCGATTCGTTCGAGGACGGCTGTACACGGCGTTCCACGAGATACTCGGCAAGTCTTTGCAGAACGTTTGGCATGTCTCGAGCCAAAAATGTCGTACACGTTGCGAATCTATTTCCATTGGTTATCGAGTTATGCCAAAAATAAGATACCGTGTCTCGTATAACCAAACGACAGACGTTTCGTTTCATGTCTGGTTCTTTTATTGCACTGTATAATTTTTACGTAAAACCCGAAATGTGTCGTTCTGGGCGCACACAGCAATCGTGTTTCCCTCCGCAACGTTTGGAGATGGGTTCGTATACGACCTTTTCGTTTCTCGTCGACTTGGAGAAGGGTGTTCGGAAAGATTGCCCGTTAGCTCGCGTAACACCAGGTACGAGGCTAGGACTAGTGACACTGCTCTCTAAGTATATGTACCTGATTATGTTACAGCGGATTTATACCTTTTTCCAACAGCTTCCTTTCGTCCAGAGCCATCAAGAGACCCATGTGCTCATAATAATTCCCTAGAATCACGTAAACTGGAACAGACGACGGCGTTTTCGAGCCGGTTAATTCCTCGAATTCTTTTACGTTGGCCGGATTCCCTTCTCGTCTCTTAATTGTTCGAAAGGGGTCACCGGGATTATTTTTAGAAACCGGATAAACACAAATAGATAGCCAACGACCAACGAGACGAAATTATGAGCCGTATCTATTCACAACGCGAGATTCTTGCACTTGTCACATGCGGGTAATCGTTCATGTTGACATGCTCGTCGCTGGTGGAGGAATCGAAATGCGGGTAGCCTATATTTTTTCGGCCGCGTGCAAAGCGTGATTTTTGGGACAATTGTTCGCTTTCGGATCGCTAGTACGTTAAGAAAGGAGGTTAACCGGGGTTGGAAACTGGAGGAAGGATCCGTTTACTTCGTTACTCACTTCTGGTCTCCAGGTACGTCTCTCTGACGAGCTCGTGGAAAGGATTGGTCATGTAGGTGACGTAATAAGGCTCTTGCCAGCAACGAAGGTAGTTGACGGTCACGCCTGCCGTCTCGAACGACGATAGGATAGTTTTCGCGATCGTCGACATCTTGTTGAACTCGAACAATGTCGAGTTCATGTACAGGAACGTCACCTAGAAGTTTTAAAGGAACCGCGTGATATCGAGCAAAGTGTACTTTTATCCCTTGGATGTCAGGTTTCGGGTTTAAATCTCTTCGAATGCCGAAGAAATCGCTTTCGGGAATCCCACAGACATTTACGCCGTTCACCGCACAAATCGACTACCTTCAATTTTTGAAAAATCTTAACTTCGAGTGTCAAAGCACTTGGTCAGTCACAACTATTTATATTTCGTTGCATTTCTCAACCTTTTGTTTTATGGAGCTTTTAAAAAATCTTAAACTTAAGTGTCAGAGTAGTCAAACTTTTTATATTTCGTCGCATTTTTCAACTGTTTGTTTTATGTTGTTCATCGATTCGTGCAACGAACGGGTCATTTCTAACAAAGTCTGAAAGTACCGCGCGAACTCGAATCGTCCAACGATTCTTTTACTTACTTTGGTCCAGTTGAAGGCCATCAGCACGGAAACGACCGACTTCGAGATCTGCGTATCCGGCGGTCTGGTTCTCGCGAACGTTGGGAACTCCTTCTTGTCGGAGGGCTCGTGATGCGTGCAGAACTACAAGCAGACAAACGCGTTCGCCGATGAAAACTTTCGACCTGAATGCAGCACGTTTGTTTTATTCCGCGCGTTATTATTACGGCTCGGAATTCAGGTGAACACGGCCGGCAGGTAGAGATAAATGGCGCGGCGTACGCCACGCGCAAGTCGGTTTCAAATTTGCATTAGGTTTCTAGGTTGGTCTATTACTAGGCTGGAGAGCGAGGGACACGTAATGCCCGCGATTTGTGTGCTGGCTGGACTCGCGATATAACGGGTCAGGGAAAACCGAATGAAAAAGCGACGAAAAGTGGACAATGATTTAGCGAATCGGACTGTTGGACGATCTAGATCGAGATTTCTCAAACTGTGCCGTCTTCCAGATTGCGGATGTATCGGTGGAAGTTATTATTATATTTTATCGTTACTAAAGGGGAACCTGTAGGTTGAGAAAAGTTGATATTTAAAATATTAGAACAATACTCTCTTTTTTGTCTATTTTCATACTTTTTTTACAATATTCTATGTCACGGTCATAACTTTGATAATTAAAAATTTTCGTTCATTTAATTGGATATCTTACAGACTATAAGTTTTTCTCAAAAAGGTATTTTTTATTCAGTTTAAAAAGTTCTTATTTCCCTGTATGGAGATGATCCGTGCGAGAGCGATGTTTGAGAATCCCTGAACCAAATTAATCGAGCGGTTATCCACTAAAAATATAAGTAACGGTAACGACTTTGTTTCGCCGATATAGAGAGGTTATGAGAAAGAACGATTCATCGGGGGACAGTAAGAAATCTATCGGAACGAAGAAGATTGAGTAGCCCATGTCATGCGACGGCGGAACGAATCGCAATACCTATTTCGCGGGACAAGGCGATTAATTTTCCACGAGTCGATTCGAAAGCGGTGGCTCGCGTTAAACGAATCGTAAAATAACATTCCAGTACTTTTCGACAATACGAACCGAGTTCGAGGGGGACGCTATTCAATGATCTGGATAATTCGTCGGAGAGATAAATGGGTTTTTTTTCCTCGTTTCTATCGTTGGCGAAGGCGCAGCTTCTTCCGAGACAGTCGCGAGATTAAAAGAAATCTAATGAATCGCGCGCAGAAATAGTTTCGCCGTTCCCATTCACTGCTTCTCCTGTCTTTTACAGGCTGTGCCGCCAGTTACGTTAAATCGTTCTTCCCTTTTCCACGAATTCCATCTTCTGAATCGCTGTGCTGTGTTACAAACAGAAGTCTTTCGCATGGAACGCGTTCCATTATAATTTTCTGTTAGACCCTTCCGATCGTTAATGAAATTTTTTGTACGAATACATTTTCGAGATACTTTAAAGCAAAGCTTTAGGGGCTGTTGCTATAATCGTGGCTACAGTACGGGCTTAGCAATCCTGAGGTATCTGAGGTATAGCCAGCGAGCTCCAACGGACTGTTATCGTTCCAAATAGGAACGATAGAGAATGATGGGGAGAAGTATGCAAGCAAATGCAAAGTAATGCAAGAGTTAAATAAATATACAAAATGTAGGAGTGGTGATGCATTAGGTATTTTAGTCGACTTATACGACTCCTAACCTTTGTGAATAAAACTCATTCACTCTTACCTTGGAACAAGAAATTGAAAACGTTTAATTATTTGAGCCGTTCACTCTACAAATCGATTAACTCCACCAGTCACATAAAAATTGTTAGATGAACCGTTCCGATCCACCGTTAGATGAAAGGTACATTTCTTTTTCTATTACCGTGGTGGAGAGGAAAATCTTCAAAAAGACACACCCCTGTCGGGGTGATAGTGTCAATCACCCGGGGCGGGAGATGAAAGCTACATGCATCCTATAATATGTATTTGAATTTATATAAAAAAAAAGAATTTTAAAAAACGATGTACATTATTTCGTCGCATTTCTCAACCTTTTATGGAGTTAATCGATTCGTGCAATGAACGACTTATTTGTCGGGTCCACGCCAAATCGTATCGTACAATACCGAAGATACCGTCGTAACTGCTCTCGCAATTAATCTCAGCCGAAGTTTCTCGTGTTTTTTTTTTTTTTTAAATAAACGGCACCGTTACAATGTAACTCGGTTCCCGCCTGAATTCCAGCAGCGAAAATGGGCGACTCGCAAAGTAGATAAACCGTCCGACGCTCGGACTCGGTGGCGTTGAATGGGTTAAACGTGTCGTAACCTCAGCATCGCACATTCGTATTCCCCGACGGTCGGCGAATAATTTATTTCCTCGGTTGGCCCGGCGCGCTCCTGGGAGCTCAAACCTCGCATTGGACCGTCAGATCACGTCAGAACAAACGAAAAAACGATCGAACGAAACGCTGCTCAGGGACCGTTCGTGATATTACATAGAGGTGCACGGTTCTCAATTTCAATGGAACGGTTTCGATACGAGAGCGATATCTGTTTTCGTCGCGTGCTACATATTTTACGACCGCTGTTCTCTCTTTTTCGAGTGACTCGTTACGCGCTGGAACGGCGCGAGGTTGGATTTAAGAGAAACGGCAGCCAATAATTTCACTTTTGTTTCGAGCAATCGTCGAGGAAAGTGGACGGTCCCTTTGATCGATAGATTCAATTAGCACGCCTGTCACACAAACTTTGTTGCACCTAATACAATTCATATATGAACAGCGTAGAAAAATAAATTAATTGTGTGAGGAGACATCGTAAGTCTAACAAATCTTGTTAGTGACACCACTGCAAACATAAAGGATTTATTTCTTTTTTAATATTACTAGACTTGATTATAAATTCTTATAGCTTCCTTGAAGCATCGACATCACCCCAAACATAAATCCTTGATGTTCAGGAAGCTATCAGAATTTATAATCGAGTCTAATGATACAAAAAAAAGACACGTTTCCAAAGTTAGACAATTTAATGTAATGTGATTCGAGATGACGCAGGGTGCAAAGAGTTAAGAAATCTATTACAATTACGTTGTGTAAATAACACCGAATCGATGGCTAGGTAATAGTTTCCAAGCCTCGAATGTCTCGATCCTATAGATGCACTCGTTGTTTCGGGGAAAAGCATGCACGCGGCAACTCGTTACTTGACCAAAGTGTTTCCGCAGGAGCACGTTGGAAAAAGCAAAACCTCTCGTCAAGAGAGATTCTTCGAATTTCATTCGACTGCATGTACCAACTTGGTATGTACTAGAAAGCCATCCGTGGTTACGTAACCGAGAAAGCTTTTCGCATTGAAGCACGGATAAAAGGAGCATCGTTACTCTTTTCTCCGATTCCGCTGTCTTGTCCGCTAAATTCCGAACCCTCTTCGAGGAGAGAACTCTTCGAGAAGTCTAGTTTCTTCGTTCGTCGAACGGGAACAGATCGAAGACGTTCGATCTCCGAAACGAGCACGGCGCTTTGTGAGAATTACGTAAGGATCAAGGAGGAAAAGGGAGGCTACATACGTAAGATATCATTGGGAGGTTGAACGCCGCCGCCATTCTTCCCTCGTGGATGCACGTTTCCTGGGGGCCGATGTAACCGCTGATATTCTTCGTCCACAGGTCGGCGGTCATCAGAATGCTGGTCTCCTCCTCTCCATAAGTTTCCGCGACGAGAAAATCGAGCTTGTGTCCGCGGCGACCGAGTTCACCCGCGTTGACCTAGGAAAATCCAGGAGTTCTACATTTTTCCCCCCCCATGAATTGAATTCTCTGCCCAATTGGGCGCACGTTTATTCGAACTCGCCGACCATTTGGCGATTTTGTTGTAAACGAGCTCCCCTGTTAGGTTTGTTTTGCATGCGGAACGAAGGCAAGGACGCGGCAACCGTGCGTTGTCGCCTGGTTCAAAATAGACGGCGATAATCGCGCGAAGGGAGCTCCTCAATTTCATTGGTCTTAATTAGCAACTTCCGTGCTAATTGCGGTTAGGCTGATGCATTCGAGCAGGGAAAAACGGGTCGCTTACCTCCTCCACGGCGAGAGATATAGCGCCGGATATCCGGGAACCAGGACGCTGATACTCCAAGTCCCCTGGACGTCTTTTCGAACCGGTGATGTACCCAAGTGTGAAGGTCTCCGCGACGGCGCCCTTATCGAGTAAAACGTGGATCGCCGTTAGTAAAAGACAAGCCCTCTCCACGTTTGCCAGCAACATGCCCAGTTGCGAAACCTTAGCAGATTAATTCAGTTTGCGCTGTAGGAAAACTTCGTTGCAACGTCGAGGACGTAGCGTTATCGATGTCAAGACTGTGGTTATAATTTGCCTCGCCAATAATCGTGCAGGAAAATATGTATTTTCTTCTCGAAACGATATAATGTTCCTTGAACACATAATATTTTCAAATAGTCCTAGACAAAAATTCGACTTACAGTTTTAGCGTTAATTGAATCTTTGACTGCAGGGACGGTTTTTGCTGTATATTTTTTCAGAGACGTAGAGGAGTGAATTTTTGAAAATATGAAAAAGGTTTAATAGACTCATAAATTCTTGAAACAATCCGTAGCATGATTTTTCATACAAAAAGACTCAAAGATAGCTTCTCGCTAGCCCTTACGGAGTCCACAACCACACAAGCAAGAGAAATATATTATTGTACACCGTTCGCGCAATTTCGATACATCTGCTGCCCCGACCGACACGTTTGGAATGCATTCGTCCCTCCTCCGCAGCGTATATGCTTTTATTTGCAAGGAGGGCCACTAAAAGCACGGGCTTGCGAACGAAAGATATAGGGAAGGTAATGGATGAAACCAGTAAGCTCGACGGGGATGCAATAAACACCATCAATCTCCTATGGAGTGCTACACTTCCTCTTCCTACATTTCGCTTTCGTTGTCGGCGAGCCGCTGGGGCCACTATAATTTCCTTTCTTCTGGGAAAACGTTGCGCTACCGAAAGATCGAGCACATGTTATCGACAGAGTGCAAACGAGAACCGCTTCATCAGTCGATCATATTTTATCGCGAGCAGACACTACTTCTAGAGCGGATTCAATTATGTTCGAGTTGATCCCTGAGTGTGAATGTCAAGAATTCATCGATTTGTCGAGTTTTCTATATTTTTTTTAAGCTTAACATTGAATTAATTGCGCCTAGGTAGTTAGTGGCGTTTAATCCGATGTCCAGGGATTTTGTTGCAGTCGAGAGTGATAAGTTCCATTATCATTCGCGTATTACATTCTTCACACGTTGGTGGGCTTGCTTTCGATAGTACATGCGAATAAGGCAGCCTTGTGTGTCCAATTCTGTAGTTTATATTGGAAACTATAAATACCATCGAAATTCATCGCATACACACCGTGTATCATTCATTGCATCCGATGTTGGCGAACATTCGTGCACCAGCACACACGGTTCACGCAATCGGATGTACTCGTTTCTGTAGCAATGTCTCTCCACCACGCAGCGTAATTCCAAACGGACGGACATTCCCACGAGCGTACCGTAGGAAAATAATCATTTATCCGCGGCTCGGTTCGCCTGAATCGAGCCGGTGTTATTAATCAATGGCGCTGACTCAACGCGTTGCTCCTCCTTTGTTCTTTTCCGTCTCTCGCGAGAGTTCTCCCTGAACAAGCTCGTTACGTAATCGGTGCTCGGTGAACAGTGCCTATTTAACGTCCTGCTCGACGACCTCGTCTTTTTTGACGTATTATTAAAATAGAGCAGTATTAATAACAGGTCGAACAGGGACCAGACGGCTCCACGCCGCGACTTCTAGGTAAGCGATGGACATTCAACTTGGAGCGAGAGAATAGAACAAAATTAGACATGGGACGAACGTCACCTGTGTACACTTTTATCATCTTCTCCATTCGACTTTTCAACGTCGAATCGTGGAAAGCACCGTCTCGTGGTAGCTTTTTCAAATTACGTAACAATTTCTTAAACGACCGTTAAGACGTCGTTCGCCTCATTACGTTGAATTGCTTTTGTATAAAAACACGATGCGCGCGCCTCGATGTATGTGGCAGAAAGCGTGTGTGCCAATATTAAACGCCTTCTGGGGCCTTTCGGGGCGCGACTTCGACACGATAATGAATGTATCGTGACTTTCGGGTCCGTCGCGATAATTAACGAGGAGTGTACGTTTATTAAGCGCACGCGAAAAGAGACGCGGCCCAGGAAATTAATTTTCGGAGGGCGAATTGTCATAACCGGAATCGGCAAGTCCGTGGCCACGAATCGACTCGCGGGTATGCGCACTCGAGCCATCGAAACCGTCGCGATGCTCGATGCCCGACGATAATTAACCAGATAAAAATCTCAATCGAGGTGTGTTTCGTTCTCGCGCCGCGTACGAGCGCATCCTTCACCTATCCGGAGATTTATGTTCCGCCCAGGTGACATTGTTCGCAATTTTTTAGCGGCCTGGAAGAGATCGAACTACAAAATCGACGCAGAACACCTTTCACCGTGCGCTGTTTCCCATCCTCGATTTACATGCTAATTGTGAAACGCGAATCAAAGCCAGCCGAACAAATTAATCTGGGTTGGCGTGTGGCTCTTTTAAATTCTCGTTTCTCGCGATACGTTTACGGTTTTTATCGAACACTGACACGGCAAGCGCAACTATTCGCTACTCTTTTATTTTTCACGATTTTGGTTGCTTTGTAAACTCTTTGCACTCGAGAGGTGACTTTCGGTCACCACCAGGTTTCACGCAGAAAATCTATCAGCAGTAATAATTAATTTCTTCGGAACTCAAAGTGTCAATAAAACAACTTAGTTAGCGATCCTGCTCGGAGTTTCAATAGATGGGATTCATCGAAACATCAGCTTATAATGGTAAATTCGTAGCTCTGGGGTGATTAGACGTAGCACAAAGGTAAGCTTGAAAGTACCACACGGTAGCAGAGAGGTTCAGGGGACGTCCAAAGCCCGTCCTCGTTAGCGAGGAGAACCTGAATATTACCATACGAATTAATAATACTCGTTAAAGTGGTGCAATAAGAATTCCAATTGCAAGAAGCTCCCCAGACGATGCACCCGATCGTGATGCAACTATTAACTGTAAGAGAAATTGAAATCATCAGATAAATGGACTCGTTATCAGAGAATTGTATCGTTAATTTCGAGACTCTCGCGAACTGTGGAAATTTGAGAGGGTTATTTAATTTTGCAGTAATTCGTGCAGCTTTGGGGCAACGTGTGCTAAACCATGCGGGTCTGCTAAATTTGGCATGTAACGTCTTATTACGAATCCCTTCACTCTCGTTTACCGCTACAATCGTTAACATGCACGTTGCGTGCGCCGCTGTTCCACGCTCTTAATTAACATGACGTTATCGTGTTTTTTTTTTCTCTTTGTCGAATCATCGAAATCGAATCTTCCGCCCTAACGGATCTTTATCGGGCTTTTGGAAACTTCGGCCGGACCGTAGACTTTCAACGAGGCCAATAATTTTATTATAAAAATCCATTAGGTACGTTACTTTCTCACATACTGGGTGTCTCAAATGGAGAGTCGCTTTGACGAATACAATTCTTATTTTAATAGTTGAATATCTCGAATGTTATTACTATCGGAGTAGATATCCTATAACTTTCACTGTTATAATTCGTCATTCCATGTAATTGTAACACAAGAGATTCGACATTTCTTCTTTACGTCTTTGGAATTTTTAAAGCTAAGCGTACAACTTTTGCCATCGATTAAAATAACGATGAAAGATGACCGTTACACAGATGACATTTTCTCTCCTTTGTCGGACGAAAGAAATCGTGAAAGGTGCATCGGGATTGGGTTTGTAAACAAGACGACATTAAGAGTCCACGGAAACAGATTTATGACGTCGTGAACAATCGACGATATCGTTCCTCGCGACGATGACTCGAGAAAGGGCCGAAGGCTGCATCATTAGCATGTCCTTAATGAATTCAGCATATTATTTCGTTCGCGAGAGTTTAATCCTCCTTTTAACGGACTGGAAAGAAAGTTCTGAAATTCCTCTCCACCTTGCGATCCCAAAGGGAGAGCCATTCGTCTCCTTGGTTTTCCGCATTGAAGTAAGTCGTGCAACGAGAATGCAAGGAAATCTAATTTTTAAACGAGAAAAAAGAGAGTATCCCGTTAAGGTTCATTCTGAACGAACATCTGAAAAACTAAATCAAATATGGATGAATATTCATTAGGGCGGTACTGATTTTAATAATTTTTGAAATCTATGTTACGTATCCTTTAAATACCGTGCAAGGACAAATTTTGCAGGAATATTTTCTTATGCGTTTCCAATGTATTTAGGTGATGCGTAACATAGATTTCAGAAACCATTGCAATAAGGACCACCCTAATATTAATGGACAGGTATTCCTATTTAACCCGTGGAAACACGTCCGAGTCCAATCACGAGCGACAGGTGTCCAGGGTGGATCGCAACGCGGGACGCTCGCGACGATAGCGGGATTCACGCCGCGTATTTCCGCCTGTCCTGGATAAATTTCCCTCCCTTATCGCTTCGTGGGTAAATAAATATTCTCCCTAACGCGCGGTTTATCGCGTTTAATCGCGACGTCCCGTACGTGCGGCGCGATAGGATCGGAATTATGCGTCCCTTGTTTCCCGAGCATCTGCGTTCGGCCGTGCGACGTGAATTTTCCTGAAAATAGCAGAAGGAAACTCTGTGTCGAACGATAAGGCACGAGACTGAAATAACGAAGACGACGAGACGCTCGCGAGCCTCTTCTTCGTCGTCGGCTATCGCTCCGTCGACGAAAAGTTCGAGGAAAGGCGTTTTCGAAATCCGCGAGCGCCTCGCCAGCTTACGAAGGTCGCAAGAGAAAGTAATGTAGCTGGCTGCACGTTTTTACTACTATTTCCTTGGAGCACCGGTGTCGGTAGCCTCGGGTATTCCTCGAGCGCGTTACAATTCGCCGCGGCTCGCGCCAATGCGCCTTCTACGCGCGAGACCCAGCTCTTGCTATTACATATGTGGAACACGTTGTACATACCGGTGACTATATTTAGAAGTTTCTCGAAAGCGAACGTTACACGGTTGAACCGTGCATAGGGAAAAACGCCGACCTTCCGCGAAATCTGGAGTACATTGTGTATGTGCGAACGGCGAGTCGAAGAAAGTTGATGCCAATGTTTGCGAGTTATCAAAATGGATGGTACATGGTTTCAGCAAGTTTGGGTAACAAATGATATCGATTCTTTCGACGCGAGGGGTGAAATTTCGATCCCTGTTCTCGATATTTGGATTCGAAACGTTCGATAGAATATAAACAGCGCGCAATTTCTTTGCTGAGAGGTTGAGACGTAATCAGCTTCGGGGAAAAAAAGAAATTTCGGATGCAAAGGATAAACCGGGACGAAAATAAGAAACAAGCAAGATATATGAAAGAGGACGGCTCGTAAGGTCGGCGGAGTAGCCTGCACGTCACAGACCTTGTCACGTTGCATCCGATGGCATTTGATAAGAACCATCGAGCTGAATAAAGCAGTCCCTTTTGTCGGCTCCTTTTTCATAACAATTCCTTACGGGAACGAGTGGCTTCTGCGAATGGTATTGGATAACAACGCGTATATTCCCGCTAGGCATGGTTAGAGGGAACGTCGGCCCGAGGGACGACGGGTCACTCATATCGGCGCAAAATATGGACGAGGTCGAAGCGGATAGTACCTTTCTCCCTCGGATTTACGAGATATGTTTTCAAATTTTCTTGAGCTCTCCGTCACGTCGTTTGCAAATCGACGAGCGAGCATCAAGAATATTTCAATAGTACATAAATCGTCTCGACACGTCACCGAGAAATCCAGAATAAATTTCGCATTGAAGAGAAATTGCATCATTTCAAATTTCTATTCAATTTTCACCTGCTTGACTGCTTCCCGCTCACGTGTGCTATCTATCGGTTTCTATGGAAAAGGAGGATGTTAAAAATGGGGTCAACTTTGAGGTAACTCGGGCCTCATTTGACCACAAAAAAGAATAAAATTATGTACTTTACTCGTGTACAATTAAATTGAAAATGATTGTTTTCTTGACAATTGAAATCTGGTCGCCACAAAACCACACATTTAGGAATAATTTTAAGACAAGGGACTATAAACCTTACCTAAACGTTCACATAGTTTCAAGAAACATTTAGAAAAAAAAGAAACAATATAAATTCAGCACTTACTGTCACATATGTTTTCCCGCTACTGGAACCTATCCTGAAATATCGCCAGGCGTAAGTAGCAATCCAGCGTGTTTTCGATAAAATACAGAAGGGATTAATTCCACGGTTTACGTATCTTCTAGTTTTTCGCGACTTCTGTCGATTTCGCGACGTCGCGCCTCGAACGTTCGATTCATAAGAATTGTGCGTGATTCCGGATGAACGCGATTTGCGATGGGGATCTCGACTGCGGAGCGGCTGTAAGTGACTCAACGCGATCATGGGGGCCGACTTTCGAAAAAGGTGATCTCGAATCTGTGTCACATAGTGTTACATAGAGAATTTTAGGCACGCCTCGGGTCGGGTTGCGTCAACGTAGACGCGGCCCTCGGGGCTATGCGTTCAATTTCTATTCGCCGACTATTTTCTAATTAGTCAACGCGCCGAATCGGTAATGGACGATCGACGTAATTGCTCGATAAGCTCGGCGCTCGGCCAGGGAACAATCAATCAAAGACTATGGACGGTTTCGCGGTTTCGAGCGACGTCGAGAAGTTGGATCATCGGATACAACCGACGGATCGTAACTCGGTTACGTGTTTACGGTCGATAAACAAATCCTGCGACCAGGATCGCGCCGCGACGATGGCGCAAATCGTAGCCAAATCGAAACGTAGCATATTAGTCGCACGCGATTCGCAATATCTGTCGCTGTTACGTAAGTTACACGCCCTATTTTCACGTTATTGGACGTTCTGTTTATTTTCGCAGACAAGCAGCAGGACAGTTCGGAGCTCGGGTCGCCGAGCGCTGTTTGTTTCCATTTCGACTCAAAAATTTCCGTCCTGGGATCGTCGTGCTTTTAAAAACATCTCTCCTTTCGCACCAGAAAGATTCCTGAAAATCGCCATTTCTTTTCATCACGAATCTAAGTGTGTTTCCCTGTGCGGCGAGCTCCTTATATTCATTTTACGCCTTTGTTTCTTGCCTTCGTCCACTTTTAATGGCCTTTCAGGGCTCCAAGATCCCGCGTTTCGATGAGGATATGGGTTCATCAGAGTCGATGCTTCGCTCCCGTGGTAACTAGGGTAAAAACTCCGCTTTTATTTTACGTTTACGTTCCTGGCGCAATATCGCCGTAACACCCACGCCGTTAGCGTTGTTCCGACGCGAGTTCAACGCTCGATTCTCCTTCCGCCAAGACTTCCTTGGTTCTGCGCGGTGAACCCTCAATGAAATCGCCGTTTCGAGATAATCCGTTATCTGTCTCACTATCACGGCACCCAAGCGGATAAACTTAAATTCTCACGTATGTTCCATTTTAGATTTAGGATCGAGTTGGTGCATCGATCTTCGAGGCGATCTTGTACATCGCTGAAGGATCCTTTGGAGGATTCTGGGCTTTGCATAAAAGTGTCTTTGATCCTTCTAGTTGGCCGCTCTTCTGCTATACAGTCTGCCCCATAAATATTCGTACCTTCTATGTCTAGTGAAGAAAGTCTAAATTAAACGATAGGTTTGATGTTTCCATATAAACTTTTTATTATAAAAATATATTAATTGAGACGAACTCTTGTAATAGACATAGAGAGTATGAATATTTATAAGACTAACTGTATACCTGTACATCTATTGAAGAAATTTGTCTGATTTAAATGATAGGCTTCATGTTCCATTATAAATATGTACACGAGTATGTACTCCACACATGTATATATTTAAAATTATAATTTATTTGGAAACATGAAGCATTCATTTAAATTAGACAAATTTCTTCAATAAATACAAAAGGTTGTGAGAAATGTATTATGTACAAAAATTATCGAAATTCTTATCGATCGCGATGCTTTCCTCCCCTATAAGTCGAAAAGTAGAAGAATCATTGTTATTTCTAAGAACAGACATGTGGAATCTGCGCCTCCCATATACAAGAAGATGGAATCAAACGAGAACACGAAACGCCAGCGCCAGCGATACAAGAAGAATTTACGAACGTGTCTGTCTGTGCCTGAACGTCCGTTTCTACTGCAACTCCCGAAAGTTCTTATACCTCGAACAGTCTTGGTTAAAATGTAACCGATGAGTGTGATCAGTTACCACGAACTCGTCGTTGTCAAATATTTGGTATTCTTTAACATAACGTTGTAATGTAAAGATCGAAGGGTGCTTTAAACTTTGAACACGTTGAATCATAATACTCTTGAACATTTTTACGGTGATTAAGTTTTGTTTACGCGGAATTGATCATGTTCGAATTTGCTTGCCTTATTTTTCGTTTGGAGTCCGACGGAAGTTTTAATTTTACGCCACTTCCTAATTCCCTAACTTCCTAATCTGTCCTAACTTGGGGGTAAATCTGCACGAGAAGACAATTCCTTCCTCGCAACCGTCATTCGAGCTTCGAAGTCGGTTATTGCGCTTTGAAGTCCATCCACAGAGAGACACACGGGCAGCCGTCTTCCCGGTTTCTGACACCTTTATCGATAAAGTTTAATCGCGTCGGTCGATCGCGGGCGCCAATGACAGGTGTCGCTTGGCGAATTTCGAGATTTTCGACGCCGTTACTTCGGACAGCCGAATGCGACCGCTCACGAGACTCGGCCGTGATTTATTGTACCGTGTTTCGGTCGGCACGTGGCAACGGTTGCGCACCCGGGAGTCATTCACGATCACCGTTCTCCGCCTCCGACTCTCGTTTCTTTTTTACTTTTGTCGGACCACCACCGTAGACCCTACCTTTCTATTTTCTAGTCGGACGATGTTCCATTCGTTGGTTGTTTTTTGCCTATGGACCAGACTGACTATATTGCGATTGTTTTTGTAATAATTGCTCGCGCGTAGGGTTCTCGAGGTAATTAGTAATCATAGACGAGACTGTTGCTAAACACGTTGATTGCCACTTCATAGTGACGGTGCTTTTCATTGGAAGAACTAAAGAAATTAATTCTGAATGTTAAGTAAGTACAAGAAAATAAATTTGAACGAGAGTCTTGAATTTCGATGAAGCTACCATAGTAAATACCACAATAATCTGTAAACAAAACTTAATCACAGTAGAAATTTCCAGGAATATTTTCAGTAGTACTCGATGAAATTACTAAAATAAATACCACGATAAATTTTTGATTATGTAATTTTCAATAGTCTGTAAAAATATTTAATCACAGTGAAAATTTTCTGGAGTATTATGAATCAACGTGTCCAAAGTTTGAAGCACCCTTCGATCTTTACATTATTATGTCGTGTTCAAGAATGCAAAATATTTGTTAAACACGAGTTCATGGTTACCGATCACACTGATGGGTTACATTTTAACCAAGACTGTTCGAGGCGCAAGAATTTTCGGGAGTTCCGGTAGAAACGGACGTTCAGGCACAGACAGAAACGTTCATAAATTCTTCTTGTATCGCTGGCGCGTGGGTGACGTACCTTTTCTCTAATGGTTCAAAAAAGAATCCGTAGAACGTGATACGAATTCGAATGACTTTAACTGGAATTAGTGAAAAGGGCATCCACAACGATGGGTACAATGAAATGAAAAATGATATCGAAATTCGTCTATTTATTCATATAACATAATATAACTATATCAGAAAAATGTCTCGCTTAATTTTTGTCCACTGAATAAACGCTCGTGCGATTCACCGTAAAAAACGGTCTCAATGACCGTGGCGCCTCGCGTATTTCTCTTTGGCAAATATCTCTTCTTCGAGATTACAATTCCGCTTACCTTGATCGTCGTATTCCCGTTTAATAACGCTCCAGTCGGGTGACCGTCTTCAGGAAGTCTCAAACACCACCAGCTCCGCCGGTACTCGCTGTTACATTCCTACGAACCACCGCGCTGGTGTAGAACGGGCCAGAGGCAACTCGTTGATCGCGACAACAACACTGTGGAAGAAATTAAAACATTCCTTCGGCAACGAACTAGAATCCCGGAAATGAAATTCGCGAGCAGCGCGTGAACCACGCGAGGCCGTGAAAGAATGCTCCTCGTAATCGACGACTGTAAATCATAGAAATGAAATCCCGCGACGGCGACTATTTTTCCTCTAATCGTGGCACATTTTCTCGATAACGTTATCCAAGGGAGCAGTGGATAGATGCGGGCAAACTAATGAAAAATGCAAAAACCGTGGTTCGATAAAAAGTTGAAGCTCTCTAATAACCAGAGAGAGCGTTTGCAGAAACGCGTCGCGAGAATTTTCCAAATTGATCGTCGTACTGGAAGAACGTTTCAAATTCGAGCGACCGTCCCGCCGATGCGAAAATGAACGACGTGAGGCCGGCGGTCGACAGTGATCGTGGGCGCGCGCGGCCAGACTGACTTCGCTCTGCTCGTCCTTCCCTCGCAGCTCGTACGTCGAGCGTCGTCGCCGTCGGCGTCGTCGTTCCATTCACAGGTCCGTTCTCCACCGACGCGGCGACGCGCGCCGTCCAGGCGCATGAGCGCAACCCGCGGAAACGCTTCAAAAAAGGGGGAGGCGCGGAACTTCGATCGTATCTTTCCCAACTTGGTTAAATGTCTGCGTTTTTCGAATTTGGGAAAAATTATACCGAGGTGCTGCTGAAATAAGCGACGATCCAAAAGCTAATGCACTGTAGAGGATAGTTCTTGCGTACAAGGGACCCCTAGATTCTTTTTATTTATTTAGTTACTATTCGAAGGGCATCGAAAAGGCCCCTAGATTCTCTTTGTTTATTGTATTTAGCTACTATTCGACGTCATAGAAAAGCATCATTTTTTGTTCTTGAAGAATGAGTTGATATTTTCCCGGATATTCTTACTGAAGAGTTCCTCCAAACTGTGTACTTGTAATTTCTCTTTATTTTGTTTCTTCTGCTATTACTTTACGAACAATTTGAAAAGCTACGACAAGGACTGAAATGTAAGAAGCTAAATGCCACAATACTATATTTTATGCCAAACTAATCTACTTGTAATTTCTCTTTATTTCGTTTCTTCTGCTATTATTATACTTTATGAACAATTTGAAAACCTACAATGTCATTTAAAACCGGCTCGAAACAGCAAGGACTGAAATGTAAGAGTCTAAACGCCACAATACTATATTTCATGCCAACCATTTCATTCTCCTATATTTTCCTGCCATGGTTCGCAATCTTTCGCATACTGCGTTTCTCTCTTCGAACGAGACCGCAGAGCCGGATTAACCGTAACCCTTATCAAAATAAAGATCCCGTGGAATATTCTGTCGCGAGATTAGATAAAAGGTCGTGCTTCCAGAAATTGTCGTTCGTTCGAGAAATCGGCGACGACGTTGGCGCTGGCACGGAACACCGTGATTCTGTCAGCTGCAAATAAGATCGTCCATTACGGGCGTAAGAGGAGCGCTGAGAAAAGTCGGGCCATTCTTGACCATGCTCGGACGTTTACGAGGATGAAAGCGCATAGAGGGAAAATCTCCCCGGAGAATGGGGCGCATAGCATTCTCGAAAAGCATCCAATCCCACTGAAGAGCCTCCCTCGCGTTTGCATCGACGTCCCGGCGCGGTCGTACGCATCAACGACCGAAGCTTTTCGTTTCGGGGAGCGTTGGAACAATCCGCAGCCGTGTGGGATGTCGATCGACGAACGACGGGGGCCACTTTGAATGACGATGTTTTTCGCTCGAGAGCCCAAATGGACGTGTCGCGCGTTCGATTTATTTATTTACCGGAAGGTTCTCGATGTTAACGCCCGAAGCAAACGCCTACGCATAAGAAAAGGAGCCCGAAAAAGTGACTCTACGGAAACTAAAAAGAAATAGTTGCATCGTGTAAGATTGTGGACAAATTGTACGAAACCAGTTAAGATATACAGTAAATCCCATAAATATTCGCACCCTCTATGTCTATTGAACAAGTTTGACTAAATTAAGTAACAGTTTTGATATTACGAAATGAATTTTTCGTTATAAATATGAATATCAATAAGCAACGTTAAATTGCGAAAAAATAAAAAAAAAAATATTTTAAATGAAAAAAAAAGTAGAAAAACAATTCGGCCCATGATGGGACTTGCGTCATAAAATGAGAAAATAATCAGTTTTTGGAGAAAGAAAAAGAAAAAAATTAGGTGTCCACAAAGTAGATTCGTTTGGATTAGTATTTACTACTGATCTGACGAAAAGAATCTGAAGTCCCTGACGAAGATTGTTACGAAACAATCCCCAGGCAATTCACCGAAGTCTTTTTAAAACGAAAGCGTTTCCGTCCGAACACCGAAATTGTCTCTGAAAAAACGCTCGATCCACGATTGCGCGAAATTTTTAGTCGCCCGTTCAATTCGCCGTGGAAAAACTCGTCTCCGGCGAAAAAAAAAAAAGAAGAACGGTTATCGATCGATCCACCGAGCTGCCACTCTCTCGATAGATCGTCGGCGATGGGGGGAAGGCGGCGACGTACGGCACTGAGGCGGATAACCCTCTTTTTTCGCGTCGTCCGACGATTACGCATTACGCAAGTGCGTAAGAACGCGCGGAACTCGCGCGTGACTTGCTTTGGAGAAAGGTATTTCTACGTACGGAGACAAACTGAGCCGTACACCCGTCGCGAAACATATCGCCGACGTTCCTTGAAATTGTAAGTAACGCAATACCGTCGATAAAATCCGTTGTTGTCGTTGTTACAATTTATCGAAGACTGAGCGTGGCCCTTGAACGCATCAGAATGCGAACGTGGAGATGGACATTCTTTAAAAAAATGAAAAGAGTTAGAGGTAAATACGATATGTTCTCAATGATACTATAAAATATATATCCTACAAAGTAATAAAACCGTAAACTAAACCGAGAGCAAGTAAAAGATCGATAAGGATAAATTACAGAGGCGCATACCTTGCGAATAAGTATATACAATGTCACGACGCGATGAATAGTTTGAATACCTAGAAGAAAGAAGTCAATCATTCGACGTACGTGAAAGTTTTCTGGAGATTAGCCTGACGCCCTGTCACGGTCGATCGAGGCAAATCGGCGCGGCTAGCATGACAATCGCGGGTTCTTCTCCCGTCGAATCGTCGGCGAAGGCGCCGAACGACGCGATCCCTGCGATTTTTCTCCCTCCAGAGAAGCGCGTCCTCGGTACGTGAATCATTATCGCGCGACCCAGTTTTCTGCGCGGTTAATTAAATCTTTTTGCCGGGCCAGACCGATCGAAATCGGGCCGAGGGGTGGGACTGGTCGTTAAACGCTCGTTACGCCTCGTTTTCATGCCGATAGCGTCACCAGCCGTCCGAAAATACAAGAGAAAAAAAAAAGGTATTCCTCGTAATTGCCCTGACGTCCCGCGTGGCACAATCTCGTTACATCGGTGACAATGCGACGGTCGTCGTTACGCTTACGTGTTTACGGTCTGCTTATTTGTTTTCTCTCGTGATTAAAGCGGGTTTCATCTCTTTATACGGGCCGTTAAAAAAGTTGGCGCGTTTAAAATTTTAACACATCGCCGAGCTCGACGGAGGGTTCGTTTTTTGCGTCTCGTGCCGCGAAACGTACAAGCGATAAGGGTGCTCGTGTCGACTGTGCTCACTCCAAGATCTGAAGAATCGATAGAAATTGGATGAGAGTTCGTTTACAATTACGTAAAATAATTATTATCGTTAATCAACGACGAAAAAAGAGAACCGAACCCGAAGGAAAGGAACCTGCTCACACGCAACGTCGCTGTAATCTTCGATCCGTTGCCAAACTTTGCGAGATGCAGATTCATCGATCGGTTGCGAAATCGATCATTACCCGCATTATCTTCGTAAACAAACATCGTGTCGCAGATATGGATCGGTCGCTTTCAATGGCACGATAAAGATGTTGCGAATCCACGAGATGGAAAAAAAAAAAGGGAAACACACGGTGTCCGTGAGCGTTCTCACGTAAAAGTGAGCGCGTTAATTTCATTGCGCGCGTTAATGCGGGCCCCGAATCGCTTCGCTTACCGATGACTCGTAATTACACCGATTATCCGCGGCGAGCGTGCACGTTGGGGCAGTTCCGAACATAAATTACGCGCGATCGCCGATACGTTCTTGCGCCGCAATGAAAGGAATTGTGTCGCGCGGAACAACACGCCGCTATCGAAAACTTCTCTTTCTTACCGATACTTTCCCGCCATTTAGAACTGCTCGCTTTTGTTTGGCCGACAGCCAATGACCCTATTCTTGTCGTTCCGGTTTGTAGCGCAAAACTAGGTACAATTTACCGTCCAGTCGTTAGTATTTCGTTAGACACTGGGCGGTAAACATATCGTCGAAAGAAGTTCATTTACGACATTGACTTCTTTCCCAGGTCTGTAAAAGGAAATTATCGCACTGACATACTCTGTCCCAAATGACAAAATGATGGGATCAATTATTTTGTAAGTAGGTTAGAATTTGATTTCGAAGCCTTCGTATAAAGAGAGAACTAGTTTTCCCAACTTCGGGTCTCCTGGCTTTGGTCTCCGATAGAAGCATGTTCAGAATGGCCCCAAGGTTCTGGAGGTATAACCGATATTCGGTTAAGGTACTCCTGTACGCCTTGTGCGTGGAACTGGAACTCGAACTCGAATTGGTGTAGAATTCGTGAAGAACTAATGTAGAATTGGTGTAGAATGGTTGTAGAATTGGTGTAGAATTGGTGTAGAATTGGTGTCGAATTTGTGTAGAATTGGTGTGGAATTGGTGTAGAATTGGAGTAGAATTAATGTTGAATTGGTGTAGAAATGATGCAGAATTTGTGTAGGAGAAGTGGTGTCGGATTAGTGTAGAAATACACGTACTCGAGTGCCAGCGCAAAAATATAATAGTTTCCTTCTGGGAGAAATTTTAACCTCGAGGGTATCCCACGGACAACCGGAAAGATACGGGATGGTTATTGAAAAGAATGGAAATTATGTGACAAATCGTAACAAATCGTGATAAATCGACAATATCGTAAAATGTACAGTGGTTCCCAGAAGTATTCGTACTCCCTCGACGACTCACTTACAACCTGGATGATATATCTCTTGGACAAAGTACTATGGGATTATATTATTTACGTTTACGAAGCGCGATCATTTTTACTTTACCCATTCCCTGACTTTTATCCACATAATCCTTCCAGACCTGGCGTCCACAATTGAGGACACAAAATTTAGAAATTACCGACACTCTGTCGTTTAAGACGAATGTCCTTATTTGTGCACACGAAGAAAGATCAGATTTCCTCGATAACTACACTATTAGGATTTAAACAATTTTTTTCCATACTGATTTTAGTCCACGTCAACCCTAAAAATTAAATTACAGTACAGTACAGTGCTGAACACACTTGGTCAAACCACTCTACGTG